CGCGCTCTTCCCGCCGCTCGGCCTCAACGGGCTCCCGGGGCTCGGCTACCCGGCCGCGGTGCTCAAGGACGGCCTGCCGCAGGTCTACCCGCCCTACCTCAACTACCTGAGGTGAGGCGCGAGGGGGCGAGGGCGGCGGGGGCGAGGGCGGCGGGGGCGAGGGCGGCGGGGGCGAGGGCGGCGGGCGCGGAGCGCGGCTCCGCTCCCTTCCTGCGCAGCCTCGCGAGCCCGAGCGGGACCACCCGCCTTGGAAGCGCAGCGTCGGGGCTCACCCGCCGGGCGCCGGGCGCGGTGCTGCTTCCTGGGTCCTTACGCGAGTCGGCACGGGACGGGGCCAGGGCGCTGTCCCCCTACCCAGGTGGGACCCGAAGGTGCGGGACGGAGCCCGAAGCAGAACTGGGATTTGGACCCCTTGACCCGCGCGTTTTTGTAAGAGTCCCAAGATTAAGTCAATGCTAAAAAGTGATATGTTTCCTGGGGACTTAAGACCTCAGTCATTGCAGTCTGATACTGTTTTGGGTTCCCTGAAGGTTGTGTCATAGTTTGAAGAACGTTTTAGTTTACAGACTGAAGTACTGGAATGTAAAAGAGAACATCGTTCAGTTGGTAGCCTTTCTTGCCATGAATAGGCAAAGCGATCTAGAGAAAGCTACCGTGGCACAGCGCGTAGATCCGATTAAACGATCGTTACGCGATTGTTTGCAGAACTGAAGATGAGCTCAGCAGATTGAACTCTTAAAGCCAAGCCAGGTCGTTGCCCAGCAGACGGAGGGTCATAACATTTCATTTGTCAAACTAAATTGCTTCTGTGTGAGGACTTGTGGAGGAAGATGTCTGCTGCCCTAATTGACAGATGCTAGCTTTCCTGGAACTCCTAATACTGGGTCTAGTGAACCCCATGACAGGTGGTCTGCTGCACGGAGCTCCGTGTGTTTGTGTCAAGCTCCAAGTGCATAGGTACATAATGTAGGGCTATTTTTTCTTTAAGTCCCCTGTCACCGTGTGGGTGCTGGTTCAGAACCCCTTGGTGACACAGATGAGAGTGCACCGCAAAGTACATGGAGTGCTTTGTTTTGTGTTTCAAGGCCGGATTCAGAAGCCAGCCAGAGCCCCCAGTACAGCTTTGAGTCGCTGCCTCAGAAGATCTGTCTTATCTGCGGGGACGAGGCATCAGGCTGTCACTATGGCGTCCTCACCTGTGGGAGCTGTAAGGTCTTCTTCAAGAGGGCCATGGAAGGTAGGCCACTTTTCCCGTTCTGCTGGGCTTGCGCTGGAGACAACCTGACAGTAGTTATCCTTTGTTGCTTCTCAGAAATGGGGCTATTTCCCTGCGATGGACAGTGTGTGATGACGTCATCGCAGTCTCGCTGGCTGCGGTACTGAGCATTGTGTGCCGCGCTTGCTTGTCCTCATTTCCGCTCTGACACTTTCAGTGGTCAACACAAGTCCATCATAACTTGAGGACAGTTACTATTAGTCACCGGTAGACTTTCAGAAACAGCTGTGTTCCAATGATATTTGAAATATGCATCTAGTACATATGTAAAACAATTTTAAATTTTGAATAAAAGTGCTCTTAGTTAGAATTACATATGCATATATATAGTTATGTAGATCATGTATACACATGCATATATAGCACATATATGTGATGTAGTATCATACATATATGCAAACATTTAAATATATTTGTAACTGTACTATTTACATGTTTGTACATTTTGTACATGATTTTATCTTTTCCATGCATGACTATTTATTTGTGTTCTAATAATTGCAAACAAAAATCTTAATTCCCTCATTATTAGCATATTTTAAGTATGTAAGCAGATAGTAAAATGTTTAGAATAAATGAAAAACGTGGACATCATAGTAAATAATTTCTAAAGTATTTTGCTTTAAGTGAAATGTGCATGTATTAAAAATCATTTAAGTTACATCTTTGTCAAATAACTTTGGATTGACTTGGTTAATGTGTTTTAAACTTTTAACTTTCATAGAAAACATTTTAAATTTCTCTTTCCACTTAAGTCAAACACATTTATATTTGAAGATTAAAAACATTTGTAGCTCATTTATATTTGAATATTATCATGAATGTATTTTATGACAAGCTGAAATGGTGTGCTAATGTCACACCTAGGCAGGGAACTGACTCTGGTGTCACCTTTTTATTTACTATTTCTGAAGATTTCTGATTTCAAGAGCCGTTTGCCTTACAAGCATCAAGGGTAGAAGAGGAAAATTTTCATTGTAAGGGGATTTCAAAGGTGTTCTTGATCAACAATAGGTGCTTTGTATATTTTTAGAATTTATTAACATATTTAATTGGTATTAAATGTGCTCATCTTCAAGAGGTTTAGTTGCCTTGACATAAATGGAGATGCAGTTGTAAGCGCGCCCTTGAGGATAGGGGCAGGGAAGTGATGGTGGCTCTCCCGGGGTTGAGGTGCAGTCAGTCAAAGCTGAAGTTCTTTGCACTGGGAGGTTGGCGCTGCAGGATTAGGGTTGCCATTTCTCCTGACTTTGATTTCTGCACCATTTCCTTGTGCATTATGAATTCCTCCATTCTGACCATCACCTTAAAGTTATATAATCTTACTCGTGGTAATCCCTTTAGAATCTCCAAAGATCAGTTTATTAGGGCTTAGCTCCTTTTTGCAGATAAGCAAATCTCAGAGACATAAATCTGAGTTCCTAAACAAAATCACACAACTGGTTAGTAGATGATTCATAGTATATACAGGCTAGATATCTTGAGTTCCTTCTTAAGGTGGATATATAGAATAAAGGGCACTTGAACTATAACACAGAAATGTTTTCATAGCATCATTAGAATAACATCCAAAATTATGAAATATATTTCTCAATTTACCCTCAGAAGCTATTTGTAGAATTTCTATTGTTGACCTGGTCCTATTTGAGTTCCTGAATAATAGAAATGAAGCACCTTTATTCAGCAATATTTGCAAAGAAGTGCCGTAGATAGATAAAAAGTACTGTAGTTAGGTGAAAAGTACCGTAGGTGGATGAAAACTCATCCGTGAAGCTAGCACAAGGTTATAACACTGAGCAAATGCATTCGTTCAGCACTTATCATATGCCTCTTAGATTTATACTGAAGATACTGTTAATCTGAATTTATCTCCAGCTGCCTTACATTCAATGATGATAATAACAGTTGACAGGTTTTTAGAGTTTGTATGGAGATTAAATGAGTAAATATATAAAAGGTATCTTAAAGAATGGCTCATGTATTGTAAGATTCCACTGATGTCCCTTTTACCTTCAAGGAGCTTATAATACAGTTGGGGCAATAATGTATGTGCATAAAATATCTAAATAAATATTCTCATTAAAGGGCCACATATAAATGATTTGTTTGTGTGTTTGTGCAGAGCACAGGTGGTTGTGAATTGAAATATTTATGTTCTACAATGATCAAAGAAAGCTTCATCGAAGATGTCATCCTCATGTGGTTAGTTAAGAACAAGTGAGACCTCCAGGCATTGAGGAGGGCTTCAAGTACATGTGTGCATTGAACAAAGTTGTGTATGTTAAGATTAGGCTGAATAAGAGCTGAATATCATATTAGAACACTATGAAAGCTAAAGCTTTCAAAGTTGGGTTGCTAATGTTTCTATAAACTGAGACAGAATCAGTGATTGAAACAGAACAGAGAGAAGTTTCTAGGAATGGGAAGAAGTTTCAGGAATGAGAAAAAGAAGTGGAGGAACGTTCATAGTTAGACAGTGAATGCCAAGTTTGCAATCTCAGAGGAAAGCGGGGATGTGTCATGAGCGCATTCAAGGTGGAGTTCTGTAGATGCCAGGATGGCCCGAAATGGGCAATCAGTAGGCAGCAGTTTGGATCTTGCTGGCACCAGGGACAACTGGGGTAGTAATGGCGTTGTGGCGTGGTTTCCATGTGCGAGTGACTAAGGCATTTATAATCTCAATTCACTTACCCCTTACAACATAAGGTGTTATTTCATCCACTTTACTAACTAGGGATCTAAGTTGGAGTCACAGGAAGTGATGGAGTCAAGATTCCGACTCGGGGTGGTGTCTGCCATCCACTGCCACGATTCCTTTCTCCTAACGGGAAGTGCGGACCAATATGTTTCCAAGTGTTGCAGCATCTCGGAGGTAGAGTGAAGCCTACAGGAGGAGAAGTGTGCCATGTCACTGGGTGGATTGGATTAACTTCACAGCAGGGCGGTGAGGAGAAGGCACCTCAGGGCTGAGGGCCAGTTTTCCCACCTCTCTTCTGAGTTAGGAGTGGAAATTGATAGAAGCTGTAAAGTCACCCAAAAAGCAAGGTTTCAGTTTGTGTGCATGGCACAGAAGAGTGAGCGATGGAGCTCGAGAAAGCAGGTGCCACTAAGGAAATGAGAAAGAGATTTTTCTTAAGCTAACTCAGCTGTCTAAAACGTGAGCCAAAAAGGCAGTTGGTTGACTAATCCATTGAATTCCTTTAGCAAGACTTACAGGGTTGGACTAAACCAGGAAGAGCTGAGAGTTGCTTCAGGCCTTTTGAGATGAAATGATCCCACCCTTCCTGCAAATGGCAGGTGCATAAGCCCCTGCTGGGAAGGAAAGAACCATTTTTCATTGGCCTATCTCTATCTGGGCTGTGGCCAGATCAGTGCTAGGAAAACATCAGGCATTAGCCAACAAGTGTTTGCTCCATGGATCAGACAACATAGCTGATAATGTAGCTCTCTTCTTCTTCGGTGACTGACAATGTTTACAGAAGCACATTTGACGTAATGAGGTAAGCAAATACCGTTTAAATGTACTCTAGAAGACATGAAGAAGTAGGTATTGATGCTTTTTTAATTGTGTTATATTATCTTCATTCCTATTGATGTATTAATTTGTATGAAGCAATTATCTTCACTAAATTAGCTTGGGTATTAATGCCCATGCACTATGCCAGACGCTGGGGGAAATACAGTGGAACACAGCGGCACTGGCTGGCCACAGAAGTGGTGCCGTTTATAACGTAGTGGCAGAAGGGAAATTTTACCAACTTATAATACATAACCAAGGAAGTTATGATTAAGTTATTAGACTGTGCAAGAGACTGGCAACTAGAGAATGGACACCTTGCCTCCACCCCAGGCAGAAGCTGGATGTAGGATGTCAACTCATAATCAGAGCTATTATTATAAATAGGCCCCAGAGGAGACTGGACAGAAATGCAGTATTTTCACCATTAAGTTGCTCTTTCAGGAGCAGACTATGTGCTTGGTATCATAAGCTAACAGGGAAACTGATTCAGCAACATAGTTCTTGATATGGATTCTGAAAAAGAAATATTAAACATGCAACTTCTTTGTTAGCAATTTCTTTGTATATATTTCTTTTTCTACCTTTACATTGCTATAATTCTTTATCTTTGATAGTCCACAAAATTATCCTATCCACCATCATTTATTTGATTAGTAGTTGGACTCTTAAGATATTTTACCAGTAATCTTACTTCGTTTACTTTCTAATACAGTCTCCCCTGCGGCAGTGTTCGCAGAACTCAAAAATAAGTATGTAGTGATTCATTAGACTTCATTTCAAACTTTACCCAATTTCTTCTCAACCTGCAGATTTTCTGGTTTAATATTTAATGTAAACAGTAAGCTGGTTTCAAGAACAAATTTACATTACAACACGTTCGAGGAAGGCTTTGCTATACTAAAATACAAGTAATTGCAAACACAGCGATCGGTATCATCCGCCCACGCTGGCGTAGGGAGCCTTCTCCAGGCATGAGTGCTGCTTTAGAGTCTGCATCTTCGCAGCCCTGCAGGCACCGCCGGGCAGCGGGAGGGCCTGACCTCCATGCTGGTGGTGACGGCTGGGCTTTGGCTGTGGCCTTTGAGTCCTGGACTAGTGTGTTCTCCTTCGAGACTCAAACGTTATTGGTAAAGCTTAACTCCCTTCTATTCAATGCCACTAATCTTTTCCCTTCCATGCAATTTTAAAAATCCTTTATCTCTGTGTCTTCATAATACTTCGTTTGGGTTCTGTTAATGTTAGTACATAAATAGGGTCACATCCTAGATGCCACCTATCATACCTTTTACATACAGCCACTTGAGTACGGGCGTGTGTGTGTAGTTCTAACTGTACTTTAAAAAATGAAGATCCTCCTGTCATACCCTGGTCATACCATGACTAGTCATACCATTACTCTAGTAAGCATTTTTTGCACGTGTCTCCTTGGTGTGCATCCTTT